AAAACATGATGTGTGGTAATGACATCATGTTAAGGCCAGTAGATTAACACCGTGTTATTACCACACATCATGTTATTGGCCAGTAGGTTACCACTGTGTTAAAACTACACATCATTTTTAGGCCAGTAGATTAACACTTTGATATTACCACACATCAAGTTTTAGGCCAGTAGATTAACACAGTGTTAAACTACTGGCCTAAATCATGATGTGAGAAAATGACAAAGAGTTAATCTACTGGTGATGTGTGGTAATAACAAAGTGTTAATCTAGTGGCCTAAAACATGAGACGTGATAATAACACAGTGTTAATCTACTTGCCTTAATCATTATTTTTGGTAAGGACACAGTGTTAATCTACTGGCCTTAATCATTATTTTTGGTAATGACACATTGTTAATCTACTGGTTTAAATCAAGATGTGTGGTTATAACACAGTGTTAATCTACTGACCTAAAGCATGATGTGTGGTAATAACACAGTGTTCATCTACTGGCCTTAATCATTATTTGCGGTAATGACACAGTGTTAATCTATTGGCCTTAGTCATGATGTGTGGTAATGACATGGTGTTAATCTACTGGCCTAAAGCATGATGTGTGGTAATAACACAGTGGTCATCTTCTGACCTAAACATGATGTGTGGTTATAACACAGTGGCAACCTACTGGCCAAAAACATGATGTGTGGTTATAACACAGTGATAACCTACTGGCCAAAAACATGATGTGTGGGAATAACACAGTGTTAATCTACCGGCCTAAAACATGATGTGTGGTAATAATACAGTGTTAATCTACTGGCCTAAAGCATGATGTGTGGTAATAACACGGTGTTAATCTACTGGCCTTAACATGATGTCATTACCACACATCATGTTTCAGGCCGGTAGATTACCAAAGTGTAATTACCACATGATTTAGGCCAGTAGATTAACACTATGTTATTACCACACATCATGTTTTAGACCAGTAGATTAACACTGTGTCATTACCGCAAATAATGATTAAGGCCAGTAGATTAACACTGTATTATTACCACACATCATGATTAAGGCTAGTAGAATAACACTGTGTTATTACCACAATTCATATTTTTGGCCAGTAGATTACCACCGTGTCATTATCTCACATCATGATTTAGGCCAGTAGTTTAACACTGTGTTAATCTACTGGCCTAAAACTTGATGGGTGGGAATAACAAAGTGTTAATCTACCGGCCTAAAACATGATGTGTGGTAATACATGATGTGTGGTAATGACACAGTGTTAATCTATTGGCCTTAGTCATGATGTGTGGTAATGACATCATGTTAAGGCCAGTAGATTAACACTTTGTTATTACCACACATCCAGTTTTAGGCCAGTAGATTAACTCTTTGTTATTACCACACATCAAATTTTAGGCCAGTAGATTAACACAGTGTTAAACTACTGGCCTAAATCATGATGTGTAGTAATAACACAGTGGTAATTTACTGGCCTAAACGTAATGTGTGGTAATTACACTTTGGTAATCTACCGGCCTAAAACGTATGTAATAACACAGTGTTAATCTTCTACTGGCCTAAAACATGATGTTTGGTAATAACACAGTGTAAATCTACTGGCCTAAAACATGAGACGTGATAATAACACAGTGTTAATCTACAGGCCTAAAACATGATGTGTGGTAATGACACAGTGTTAATCTATTGGCCTTAGTCATGATGTGTGGTAATGACATGGTGTTAATCTACTGGCCTAAAGCATGATGTGTGGTAATAACACGGTGTTAATCTACTGGCCTTAACATGATGTCATTACCACACATCATGTTTTAGGACGGTAGATTACCAAAGTGTAATTACCACATGATTTAGGCCAGTAGATTACCACTGTGTTATTACCACACATACCACTGTGTTATTACCACACATACCACTGTGTTATTACCACACATCATGTTAAGGCCAGTAGATTAACACCGTGTTATTACCACACATCATGGTTTTGGGCAGTAGGTTACCACTGTGTTATAACCACACATCTTGATTTAAACCAGTAGATTAATACTGTGTCATTACCACAAATAATGATTAAGGCCAGTAGATGAACACTGTGTTATTACCACACATCATGCTTTAGGCCAGTGGATTAACACTGTGTTATTACCACACCTCATATTTTTGGCCAGTAGATTAACACTTTGTTATTACCACACATCATGTTTTTGGCCAGTAGGTTACCACTGTGTTATAACCACACATCATGATTTAAACCAGTAGATTAACACTGTGTCATTACCAAAAATAATGATTAAGGCCAGTAGATGAACACTGTGTTATTACCACCCATCATGCTTTAGGCCAGTAGATTAACATTGTGTTATTACCACACATCATGTTATTGGCCAGTAGGTTACCACTGTGTTAAAACTACACATCATTTTTAGGCCAGTAGATTAACACTGGGTTATTACCACACATCATGATTTAAGCCAGTAGATTAAAACTGTGTCATTACCACACATCATGTTTTAGGCGAGTAGATTAACACTTTGTTATTACCACACATCATGTTTTAGGCCTGTAGATTAACACTGTGTTATTACGACACGTCATGATTTAAGCCAGTAGATTAACACTGTGTCATTACCATAAATAATGATTAAGGCCAGTAGATGAACACTGTGTTATTACCACACATCTTGATTTAGGCCAGTAGATTAACACTGGGTTATTACCACACATCATGATTTAAGCCTGTAGATTAACACTATGTTATTATCACATATTACGTTTAGACCACACGTCATGATTTAAGCCATTAGATTAACACTGTGTCATTACCACCCATCATGTTTTAGGCCAGTAGATTAACACTGGGTTATTACCACACATCATGATTTAAGCCTGTAGATTAACACTGAGTTATTATCACATATTACGTTTAGGTCAGTAGATTAACACTGTGTTATTACGACACGTCATGATTTAAGCCAGTAGATTACCACTGTGTCATTACCACACATCATGTTTTAGGCCAGTAGATTAACACTGTGTTATTACCACACGTCATGATTTAAGCCAGTAGATTAACACTGTGTCATTACCACACATCATGTTTTAGGCCAGTAGATTAACACTGTGTTATTACCACACATCATGATTTAGGCCAGTAGATTAACACTGTGTTATAACATATCACACATCATGTTTTAGGCCGGTAGATTAACCCTCAGTTATTACCACACATCATGTTTTAGGTCGGTAGATTAACACTGTGTCATTACCATACATCATGTTTTAGGCCAGTAGATTAACACTGTGTCATTACCACACATCATGTTTTAGGCCAGAAGATTAACACTGTGTTATTACCACACATCATGATTTAGGCCAGTAGATTAACACTGTGTCATTACCACACATCATGTTTTAGGCCGGTAGATTACCACTGTGTTATTACATACCACACATCATGTTTTGGCCCAGTAGATTAACACTGTGTCATTACCACACAACATGTTTTAGGCCAGTAGATTAACACTGTGTTATTACATACCACACATCATGTTTTAGGCCGGTAGATTAACACTGTGTTATTACCGCACATCATGTTTTAGGCTAGTAGATTAACACTGTGTTATTACCACACATCATGTATTAACAATGCCAAATGACAGAAATAAATGATGCTTGTTATTGACGCATCAATTGTTTGTCCGACCAGTTGCAGAAAATACAAAAATCTTATTCATCTTTCATATGTTTATGCGGTTTCGTCTTAGTTCGTCCACTCAATATGGTCACATCCTACCAATGACCAGCTGGCTATTGACTATGTGCCGAGTAAATCACTTGTGTATGTGCAGGTTGAAATGGTCAAGACAACAAAATCCTTCGTATCAATGCAAATATCTACCGTTCTTTGTATTCAACAGCTTTTACAATGAATGCGTATACACATGTGTTATTGCGAAGTTAATCGTGTACTATGTATGAATAATACGTTAAATTTTCCCATTGACAGTTGACCTCTGATCTTTATATTAGCCCTGAAATTGTCCTAAAACATTAAATAAGTTAATTTTTCTATGATTTGATAACATGTTAAGAAAAATATTCACGAAAAACGAGTTTAGAATGCTGTTTATAATATATTGTCTTTTAGCGAGTTCCGCCGTATCTAAACCAAATTTACTGTCACTATTCGTAAACATTATTGTTTTACACCGTAATGATACCGGTTTTTTTCTTGCATAGGTAACATTTGATAAGTTAGAGATTTCGCAACCTGTCGGAACAAATTGGATATAAAAAATAAGATATTTTTTTTCCATTACACATTACAGAACACATTATATCTCCAGCACAAACGCAGGCATACACACATAGGGAGATATTAGCTAGGTGGCATGGGGCTAATAGTTAGCGCCTGATAAGGCAGCTCCTGCGAATTCCTGTATTGATTGATGTATATGCTAATTGTACTAATTGTATATCTATGTACTGTAAAGCGCTTTAGAGTGGCTCATGTTAGCTAGATAGGGCCCTATATCAAATGTTGTGTATTATTATTATTATTATTTATAATTCCAAAATAATTGGGACTAAAAAAATAGCAGGCAAGTAAGTTGGTTTTCGTTAGTGAAAATAATGAAAATAAGTTCGAATGTCCACTATACCACAAACTCGCCCACTTTTGTGTGACAACTATATGATAGGTATGACGATCGAAAATATTTTAACACAGGGTCTGTGTCAAAACCTAAAGGAAATGTTCTATAAGAGAAAGTGTCTGCTTCACTCAGATCAATCTTAATCCCAAAGACGCCAAGGAATTGGCACGGTTGATTAAGAGGACTGGGAATGGTTCTTAACATCTTTCTGAGACGGATGTTGAAGATTACAAATGAATACCAAGCAGACGAAATTTAAAGCATCAGTCCCATAGACACATTATACCATACAAAGGGCTTTGCTATCTAACACAGTGTATAATTCATTCGGTACTCACCCTGGATTTATTGGCATTCAGAATCCCTCTTGTGGACGTGTCTGTGTCTTAAGTACGCTTGCCTATTCTCCTAAATTGCACATGTATTCGGACATCCTTCACAAACTCTGGTAGGATGCCACGGCAGCTAGTTTATCCTGAAAATATTGCCAGAGACTTTCTGTTATTAACCCGTTCAATAGGTCGCCTGAAGATGAAACACTATCTAGAATCGAACTCACGCGTTAGAGGATGTAAAGTGCATTTGGATTTATTACCTCTCGCGCATTAACGTTTATGAGAAGGAGACATAATATTGCAGCAAGCCATTAATTTTCAGGGACATGCATATCGGCCAACACTTTAGATTAATATTGAAATCCTAATTCTAGAGCTTTCATCAATTTTGTTATATGATAAAGATGTGACGTATCGAATTGATAATAAATAATCTTCTGAACCATAAAATGAATAATTACATGTCCGCAGATCATTTACAATTCGTTAAAGTGCAAGCGATAAAATTGCAGCTGTTAACGTACGCATACTGTTCTTTTTCTTGTTATTAACCTTTGAAAACACCTTCTCATTTAGAATCATTGCGGAATACAGTCAATACCAATGTATGAAGAGCAAATTAATTCTTGAGCAATAATGGAACTTCAATGTCCCAGCCAACGAATGCTAACTTCTACAGAAGTTGCTGTTATACTGAGTTCGTGTCGACATCTTAAGCAATACCTACAACGGGGTCAGGTACTCTCTGGAGGAGGACACAATTACTGTATGCCATCCTTCCTTCCATGAACAAGAGAGATGATGTGGTGCTTATACATTTGTTTCAAAACACAATTACAGTGCGCGTCTCTGTGTAACCAACGGAGACATGTAAGACGCACTTCCTTGGCCAGGCCATTCTACAACACACTGATGATAAGTGACTTGAAAGGTTATCAGTTCCTATTGATTCACTGTATTTTGCTACGTCACCCATTGTTATGGGGATATAACAAAAGTTGGAGCAAAGAGCCAAGCAAAATTAATTCATCAGCAGATTTTACTTTGTCAACCACACAATTATTAGCGAATTATGATTTCCAAACACCATAAAATGAATCAAATACAACTTTAATGCTATTTTCATTTTAAGTAAAAATGCAACAGAATACTAATTAGCGGATAATGTATCTTATTGTTTTCATCACCTTTACTGGAAACAGAAGCGTGGACAGTATTAATTTGTAATTCAATTTCAAACATCTTTTCCAATAATGTTAACGCTACAACATACATATTACAATTCCATTGGTCTGCAACAGTTCATATATTCTATTAGGTTATCTTTGTCATTACATTTCTAAAATACATGGTGCAGAAGAAAGAATAAACAGCTGAGGAAAGATTGTTTTAAATCAATTTAAATGCGAGGTATCCATATGAAGGATGTCCCTAATGACGCTGGACACACACAAACAAATCTCATCAATGGAACCGATACAAATGTCGTCAGATTTTTATATTTTTTGATTCATTACACAATTGACACGAGAGATGACTGGATCGATGAGCCGGTCCAGAGATAAGTCATGGTGGATATCTGCCCTAGCCTAGCGCATCGGTATCAATCACGGGCTGTCCCTGATTACCCAGGGCTGCTCAGGACCGTGCTAAATAGGCAAGGTGGTTGAGGGGTCAACCTCCACAAGACAGTACCGTATCAGTATTGTTAACTTCATCGACATACGACAGCCTAGGTCAGGGCCTAGTTCTTTGGATCACATGCAATATTAGTACGCGATTTTTTTTTTTGTGTCATCAAGGTTCCAATAGAGACTGCTTTGGT